TATATGTATGTATATATATATATATGTATGTATATATATATAATGATCAGTTGTGAAAAAGAAAATACTAGTACACAAAATAGTTACTAGTTCCATACCCCTCGAATTGGAAGCATTCGTCCTGTCACTGTCACTTCACTGATCATAGAGAGTTCCTTCTTGACAGGCTTATTCATAGCAAGAGATAACAATAAAGTGATCCTGGTGGGTGGTCCACCCTTTTGAGCAGCACCGGCAGGCACATGCAGGTGGAGCTTGGAATTTGCAAATAACTTGTTCCCTGGCTCTTTCTGAAGTAATATAGCTCTGGCAACCGTATGATCTTTTTGGGCATTTTCCTTCATGACATCTCCAAGCTGTCCTGTTAGATGAAGTGCACCTTTCCCTACTCCTTGCTCCACTAGGGAGGCCACAATGGACAATGTTGAGCTACTGAAGGCAGTCCACGCAAGACCCAAACAACTCCTATAGGAGTCTGATCGTAAACATGTTCAGCTTGGTATGCTGGCTTTCCTTCAAAATTGGCCAGATTTGACACATCAACAGAAACTTTATCGACCATGTCACTGCCAACTACTTCACTGGTGCTGTTTGTCCCTTCATTAACCTGCCAATAACAATTGCAATGTCAAGTGGATAGCAGTTTGTAAGTATATCATTCAAGTTTAGCTCTAACTATTCCACTCTGTTGATGTTATTGCTTTGTTCTTCGATAACTTACAAAGAACTCCCCAATGCAGAAGCACCAAATCATCAAAATTCTTACGTCTGAAATTTCTTATCTATAGATAAAAATTTGCTATTGTAGATCTTTCTACTGACTTCCTGATCCTATTATGAGACACTGGAATCCTATAAATGGACATGAAGCAAGAAGCTCTGTGTCTACCAATTTTATGGAAATGCAAGAACAGATGTAAGAAATAAATGTCTGCTGTGATCCAACAGATTCAAAAAATTGATGGCACATATCGTGGCAAGAAAATAAGTTTAATCAGATACAGGTGTCATTTGACTGACGATCACATTCTTTAAAGAATGGTCATCATACAACATAAGCTTCACTTATAAGCTACATTCCATGCTGCAACAGTAGCAAGAGCAACAGAAACATCAGAATCTAATCAGGTGCTCAATTTTAAGAGCCATCATGCCAAGATATGTGTACCTTCCGATATATCCTTTCAAAATGCCTTTTTTAGGTTTCTAACACCAAGCTTCTCGGCAATAATTATCAATCAGTGATAGAAGAGCAGCATCAGTTGCTTCTACCTGTACAAGTAAGAATGAGACTATGCATATGGTGGACGTGTAACAAAATATAAAGCAGGAGACTCATACACCAGCTTCACACAGAAATCATGCCTTTTGTTTAGATCTTACTTTGGTTTATATTTTATACCATGAACCTGAAATAAAATCGCCTCATATTAAAATCAAATTCCCACATTGATAAATTACAAGCTGTAATAGTGTAAACAAGGATTATATATAGTCTTACAGGTCAAGAGTCAAGGGGAAACTATCATCTGTGGTGCCAATTCACCATGCATTGGCTTTGGCACTAATATAGAAAGGTTGGCAACCTCTCTTTCCTCTTCTTTCTCGGTTCTTCTCTAATATTATTTCCCTCTTTTACCATCTTGTCCTCAAATAACTTCCTTTTTCACCAAAAGTTATTTATGTTTTGAAATCAGATATCACAGATCGTCCAAAATCAAATACAGCAGCCTTGATCCTAGACCATTGATCTGTTACACAGAAACAGATCGGATCTAAATCCCCATGCTATATACGGCCTTAAATCATCCTTGAAGGAACTTTTTCTTAACTTAAACCAATGTACAATCCACATACTTTCATGAAAACAGTCTAGCATTGTTATGTGGCATAAACTAATAACACCAATGAGATCCCTGGTTATTACGAATTGTAATGATACGTGAAACACCTACATATACATATACTATATACATATTCAGACACATATGCACATGTATGTGTAAACTACATATAATATATACTTGATAAAGTTATATATGTGCAGATATAATACAATTTTAAACAGTTTAAGCAGGGTAAAGAAAAGAACTAACAACACAAGGTGAGTCAAAACAAGCATACCAATCCATTGGCAGGAAAACCAGTGGGGGATATTTGATGACAAAGGATAGTGATGGACGATTCATTTGATAAATTTGGATCTTACTTGATCAGGTCTGACACCACAGGTTTCACAAGTTTTCTCTATATGGTCCCTTGTGAGATGCATCTTCTTATCAGTGATCTAGCCAGCAAGAGAGATAATTTCCATTCTATCCAAGAGAGGGTTTGGAATCATCTCAATTACATTAGCTGTACAGATAAAGAAAACCTACATAAACAAAAAGTTCATGCCATACAACATCCAGGCATAAAAACTTCCTATTACGAGAGAGCAACAATGTTGCTTAAAAAAGAAAAGGAAGCAAATAGGGTATACCAGCTGTCCAAAAAGCCAAATCAAGGAAAATTATTAGAAGAAAGGAAGAACAGGGTTCTCATAATATTAACAAAAAACAGACTGTAAGAAAATAAATTGGATATGTAGCTGGCAGTTACATGAATGGCAAAAAAAAGCACATTAACATGCTGGGGATATTTTCATCGTTAACTCCAGATCAGAACATGTTATATCGATTCAAAACAAAAATTCCTGATAGACAATAGGAACTGACAATCTTCCTATGCAAAATTTTGCAAATTTATTACAGCTTCAACTATTAGTAATTCATTTAGATGAACCATGCTTCAAAAATACTTGAATAATAGAAAGAAATAAACTGACACAGTGGGGAGTTTCTAACAATTTATGTTTCCATCTGCAAATTCATATTTTCATATATTTTCATTTACTGTATGAAATTGCATACACATGCTCTGTTGGTATCCTTGCTAATGATGTAGCTTGATCAAATGATTATTTTTGTATATACAGAATAGTATTTGGCAAACAAGTTAATCCAACTGGGAGAGGTGCTGTTCGGACCAACCACAAGCAGAAAGGTGCTGTACAAAATTTCCTACTGTGACACCAAGTTGAGAAGGCTAATCAGCAGCATATGAAGTAATAGATCTTTAGAAAGAGAATTAACAAAAGAGAAATATGCAGATATCATAGAAATTTTTAACAGAGAATAGATTCAAGCAACTTGATTTCAGTAAAAGCATAATCAAGAAATCACTGGTACAAGTACAGTGTTTAACAAATCAAGCAATAGTGATCAAGGAGGATTCCAGAACTTGGACATAATTATTCAAGTTGTCAATTTCTCCAGCCTGCTGCTCATTTAAGTTGCATTAACACTAGTAAATTGTCCAGAAAGCCTCCAATGCAAAAGTATTGTTATTCTTAACAGTACAATAAAACTACAATAGCAATACCAATTATTTGCAGTAACAAATACTATACAGCTTAAGAACCAAGTTTTTTTAACAATTGCACTGCATAAAAGCCAGTAAACGAGATTTATATTCTCACTCCCCCTCATGTGGATGATAGATGGTTCAACCCAGCACGTGAAACTTCAATTAATCAGAAATATATATTTAACTATGTGTGGCTCGGTCAAGTTCTAAAAGCTTAAGTCAGTAGATGAGACATGATTGATTGATTTAAATTCCCAACATTATGAAACAAAACATCAAAAATAAGAAAAAAAATTAAATTAAAAAAATCAAGAAACTCGTAAAATATTTAAGATCCGGGGTTAATAGAACATTAACTATTGCGACACCGACTACCTAAGAAACGATTTTAAGATATTAACAAACACTTCCATCCCACAGACCGCTGTCAAAAGAGTTGCAATGGTTAGATTTTAATGGAAAAAAACTGACCGACGAGTAGTCCTCGGGCGGTGGATTCGTACAAACAATCGCTGAGGATGCCTTGGAACCAACCTTTTCTGTCCCGCCACCCTCCAAAGAGACAATGACAACGGCCCTAGCTTCCTCCTCGGCCTTGGCCTCCGCGGACGGCTCAAAACCAGTGCCACGCTCGGAGCAAAAGAACATTTTTCTCCCAAAACCCGAGCTTCCGCCGCGCGGACTCCTGAAGGAACCCAACACACTGAGCAACGGAGAGCTCCTTTCGCCGGCATTGACGGCGACCGCCAGGGGCCTGGCCGAGAGCCATCGGCCTCGGACGCAAGCAGACGGGAGAAACCTCAGCATGGACAACCGGGAATCTAAAGCACTAGAAACCAAGATCGAGACATTGGCGTTCTGGCGATGGTCTACGCCTCCTGTCCATGGATTTCGCGGAGGATCGTCGTGGGGAGGGAGACGCTTCCTGTAGCCTTCTCGACCATGAAACCCCTTTATAAACCCTTGTGTTTCCGTCGTCGATTCGACCGCGATTTGAGTGGGAGTCGAATTACGATACGATCCGGTAACGTAGTCAAAACTTGAGTTGCCGTGGCGAGACACCGAGTCGAGCGTGCTGTCCCCAACTCGGCGAGTAGACCGCCTTCATCAACCGAATCACACTTTTAAAGCTCATCACGTGATTTTTAAAGCAGCTCCACTGTGGAAGGGCCCACTTACATGACGGTGGGTCTTGCCGTACGACAAGGCTTCCATGCAAATATTTGCTTGGAAGAGACTGAATCCTGTTTGAGCTTCCTTTGTAAAGTCATTAGAAAGGCAAAAAAAAACCCTCAAATAAATTAAACATATGTTATCCAATTAAATTATTATGGATATTATATTATATTATATTGAGGCTTTGTATATATAATATCTGTCGTTCATTTAATAAAGTAGAATAAAAAGGGTAAGATTATTTTTATGGTGCTGCCCAGGTTCGAACTGGGGACCTTTAGTGTGTAAGACTAACGTGATAACCGACTACACCACAGCACCGTTGTGCTATAAGCGACGATAAAATTATATAAGAATGTTCGAAAAGGAAGAGAGCGGCAGCTCGAAATCATGGTGTAGAGGAAGAGCCTTCCGGTGGATATGGCAGCAGAAAGGCGAGTTCCTGCGGACGCTTAAGGCCAACCAGACTCTCATCTTGGTCGGAGAAGCTGGGAGTTGTAGACCAACTCGAGTTCCTTCCACTTTTGGATTGGAGGTCTTGTTTCTCTGGTTATGTGCTCTGTTCGATTGGCTTAAATTGCATCAAAATATTAAGATCATGATGGCTGCAATATCCCTCTATGGTAGAAAAGCAAGAACATTAAAAGCCAAGATAGCTGACTGATGCTTGGTGGTATCTGAAAGATGTAAATGCTTCTTTGATTGTCTCTGAACTTTTAAGAAATTATTATGATTGTATGAATATTAGGGAAATTTAAGGTAATTAAGTTAAATTTTCTTGGACTCAAACTAGTTGATATTAATGGCAGTGATTCTAATAAGCAAGAGTTGTTAGTTCTTTGCATTCTAATCCTTCAATTGCAATCTTTGAGTTCTTGAAACTAATTACATCAGGTAAAGTTTCTACCATAAATGAAACAGTGGTTGATATGTATATATTGAAATATGAATCAGAGCATCTCACATTTGATACCTTACAGAGCTGGCAAAGCAACAGCCAGAAAAAGAAACAAAGGAAGAGGTAAAAGAAGGTCCACCAGACTAAGCTCTAATATATAGCTGATATCCAATTCAATTGGCTATGAGCACATACAGTTGGGAGGGGGGGGCAGGGGGAGTAGGAACAGATGACTGAGTTGGATGCTTATGAAATAGAAGTAAAACTCTCAATAGGATCCGATTCTTCTAACAATGATGCTGCCTGGAAGCAGTCTGCTGCATCGGCAATCCTTCCTTCGTCCCTGTGGATTATTCCCAGGTAGTACCATGCCAGCCGATTGGCAGGTTCGAGCCTGAGGGCATCTGAAAGAAAGCTTCTGGCGACGGGCAAAGATTTTGAGCCTTTTTTGGACAGCAGAGCACCGATCGATACCTTAGATGGCACATCATCTAGCTCTAAGGAAAGGGCATTGCTGAAAGTAGCCAATGCTTCTTGCATCTGTCCATGAGCTTCAAGCATACTACCTGGCAAATCACATAGAGAAAGACTTTACTGACTGATATCATGCGGATGTGTTGCATGTACACTTTGAGCTAAGCCAAATATGGTGGCAGCTGGAGAAAAGAATTCTTTCAGAGATGAAACTAAAGAGATGCCTATCCAAGTTGATGAGCTATAAAAAAAAGGGGGGGTCAATTCCCAGAGATTTCAGTGAAGAAATGCAAACTTAACATGTTGCTTAATTTCGCCAGACAAGATAAATAAAAGTAGACATTAAAAAAAGGCAGCAAATAAGTCTTCTTTTGCTATGGAGACATGAAAAAAAAATCATTCAAATAATACATATTCAGTAGTTTGCCAATAAGAATCCTTTAAGGAATACGAAGGCCTTAAAATGGTGTCACGACTTAGGTGCGATGGGCTAACTGGCCTATCAACATTGTTGAACCCACGAAAATGCCTAGGCTGAAGTTGATAATAGTACAACAAATTAATTTTAGTCTTCTCACTTCTGATATGGGGCTAATCCGGGTGTTACAAATCGTGCGATATAAGATAAGAAATCTCTATTAAGAGAAACAGTTTATATATTAAATTTTCTTATACAAGGAACTGGCATATATGACTTAACAGCTTTATCTTCTTTGTGATACTTCTATAAAAAGCAATCAAAATTTAACTGCAAGCTGCACCTCAATTTAACTTAGTAGATGCACTGAGTTAATTAAACAAGTTACTAGCTGCTAATGTATCCTATGTCTCAGTGTGGCTATTTGGTTCTGAATAAGAAGAAATCAAACAATTAAGATGACAGAATATTAGCAGAAAAAGGCAAATTGGTAATTTATCAAGGAGCTCAGGAGAGACCAAAATACATAATTATGATCATTGGTACCTTCAGTATGCAGAATAGAAGAAGAAAAAGGTTTCAGGGCCCCAGCTTTCTCCAAACATATCTCAGCATCTCTCCAGTGAGAAAGGCCAGAGTAAAGATTGGCAAGACCTTGCCAAACTTCAAACTCATTAAAGTCGTCATCCTCAACCTGAAAACACATCAGATAAAGCGTTAATATCAAAACCTAGCAAAAATTAGATGCACACAAAACACACCATACACTTTCAGACAGTTATCGACGGGCAGGGTGTCTGCTATACCTCTAACATCCATCATCCAAACCATCAGCCTATGAGTGAAAATATTCTCTTTGCTAAATCTTATTTGCTTTCTCGGTACGCAACAAGATAGTAATAATTTCAAGAATCAGATTCTTCAACAGTATTGTCTGGTTCCCTATCTTTTGCATGCACCATTTGAATATCATAAACATCCATAAATAGTAAGCTCATACAGTGACTGGTAAATACATCTATCGACAGACAAATATTTAATGCAATGACATCCTATAGATAGTGCTCATCAATTCCAAAAGACAACATACGTGAATTTATCAGAACCACCATATACATCAAACTGAACCAAAACTTAAATTGGCATTGGGAATTATGTGTTGCGATATTATTCAAAAAGGAGAGAGTGAGTCTTAGTACAATGATAAGATTGTTCCTTTGTGATCTAAGAGATCCGAGTTGCTGAATTGTCTCTCTAAATGTATATTTATAGATAAGGGCATTAGGCTATATATATTGATCATTCTCGGACTCCACATTGGCACAAACCTAATGCACTAGATATGCCCTTTTTTTTTAATATTATTTGAAAAGGAAAACAAGACAGACATAACATATTATTACAAGAAAAATAAGGAAAAAAATAAAAAGGATTCAAAATTTAACATGGGCCTATTTCTAAGAAGAAGACCACAAAACAAAGCAGAGCAGAGCAAGAATGGAAGTAAATTATTTCTAGATTCAACTATAGTCTAGCAGGCATGGGATCAAGTGACAAGAAGATATGTGCATTTATGATACAACAAGTTTAGACGATCTCTAAACATGAAAAAAGGTATATATTCACACCTGGCCTAACAAAAGTTGACAAAAATCCCGGTAAAAAGTACATCTAGAACCACACCATAGAACTTTCTGGTGCTTCTGAACATGTTATTTATGATATAGGTCATTCTTCCCTTCCCTACCAGCTGTTATATGACAAAGAAAACCCCTCTCCAGATCAACATCTATTGGCTCCTAGTTGCCCCAGACAACTAATGAATGTTCAAATAATATCTACTAACCAGTGAAACACACAAATATATACCTACTATTTCATTTGCAGTTACATTTAATTTCTTCAGGACAGTTAATAGGTCTCACACAATCAACATTAACTTTAAAATGATAGTGGTACCATTGTTTTAGCAATGTATAGTGGATCCCTTTATTTGTGGAACATACCATCACTATGGACTGACAAGAACATGGCCAGGCATTATTTATTGAGGGCATCTATAAATTTCAGGATCCACAATTACATGCACAATCAGTAGATAAACGAAATAAACAGAAGAAAGAACAGCCAACAGATATGTATATGGAAATTCTCAAGATATAAATTTGCACAAAGGTTAAACAAACCTCTGTGTTATTTTTCACAGATCCAGACTTCCTTTGGGCCTGAACTAGAGCAAGCAAGAAGCGATAGGCTTCAATGGCATCCATGGGCAAGGTCTGAGCCACTTTCAGCTTTGCCTTGATCCTGAGTAGAGGCCCTTGTTCCCATTTAGCAGTCTCATCCAGTGCTGCATCAGTGACAATTTCAGCCTCTGTGAAACGTTGCTGAGCAGATAAAATCAGAGAAAGCAATCTCCATCCTTTTAATACCGATCCACCTGTTGCATCAATAAATTCTTTAGCACATCGGAGAGCTGCATTTGTGTTGTGTTGCTCAGAATATTCAAGGCCTAGGTCAAAAAGTATATCTGGGTTGTGTCGTTCAAGAGCAACCGCCTCATCTAGTGATTTCAAAGCTTCAATTCGCAAGTTAGACCTTTCATAATCTGAGGAAGCAATTTTAGCTTGTTTGCCCAGACAATTTCCTAGAAAATGAAGACCCACGCTCTTTAGATGCTCATCTGCAGCTTGAGCATTTGCTATAGCCCTCCGTGCATATTCGACTCCCTCGGCAGAAAGAAGGCGGTCTTCACTGCAAATCTTAGCAGCCAATAGTAATGCCATGATGTCATTAGGACTTTCATCCTTCTTTAATGCCTGTCTTAATAAGTTCAAAGCAGAATGATTCTGACCTGCTGCACTATAGCAAAGAGCCAAACTGTACCACCTATCACAACGTGGATATATTCCAGGCATGGCTTCTTCAAAGTGCCTAGCCAGCACAAAAGTTTGGGAACATACAGAGAGTGCAAAAGAGAGATGTTCCATCACTGAGGGATCCCATTGTATCTTGCCTAGATGCCATTTTCTTAAGACTACCATTAGAAGTAAAATTGCTTCTTCCAAATTGTTTTTTGGAACAAATGTACCATCAACTTGGGTAGCCAAATTTGGTGGACCAGCCTCTATCCCACTATATAACAGAAATGCAGCAAATCTTTTCTGAATTCTTGCACAAGATTCATCATCAAGATTCCACTGACTTAGAAGAGCTTGTCGGTAAGAAGCCAAAGCCTCATGATAGCTCCCAGCTTGCTTCCAGAGTTCTGGAAGGAGCTCCACAGCCCTACTAACAGTTTCCTGTAACTTCTGCTCGACCAAAACATCAGGTATGCCATGTTGAAACATCTTTTCCACTGTATCAAGAATACCTTTACATTCTTGCGCAGCTTCTGCAGGAAGCAAAATTTTGTTTCATCAGAAGCTAAAGAAACCATCTGATTCAACATCAGAAGAGTGCATGACAAATATAGTATTTCACAAGATAAAGGCAAGGAAACTATGATTCACATCTTCAGGCTTCTGCAAATTGCAAGGATCATGAATGATGATTAGCAGCTCATACCCGTAGCTTTGCCTAGCTTCCGGAGAGACATGGACTTCAAGTAGATGGCTTCAAGGACAAGGCTAGCAGCACGCTGAGACACCATATGCATAGAGTCACCGCGTGAGCGACCCCGCCTCGTAGCAGGCTTCTCAGAGACAGAAGGTTGTATACGCTGAATGGCAGCTTGAAGATCTATTCCATCAAATACCCGAACAGCAGATTCTATGTTGCCTCTTTGATATTCCAGCCTTCCAAGGAGTGCTCTTGCTTCCTTTATCATTTGATACAAATACATTTAATGATGTAAGATGCCAAGATCAAATAGTCTGATGATAAGAGGCATGTCAATGAAGTATTAACGATTATACATCATTCAATCGTATCAAGCGGAATTACATCTCAAAATATCATTTTGGAATTAATAGCCTCTGCATTTAGTGTCACATGCCTTACGCGACAATCAAGCATTTGATGGAACCTCTTTTTTTTTTTTAGCGTTAGCATTTAGAATGTATCTAGGAATATCTTGGAATATTATACAAAAACATAAAATAGACATGAATGAACAGTTTCAAACATTACATAGATTTTGCGTCATGTCCATCTTGAACACTACCAATAACAGAGATTCTTCAGCGGGGTAGAACGTATTATACGAGCAATTTTGTTTGAGAAGTCTGAAACAGACTACAGGCAACTTCCTTGCTCGGAAAATTCGTTTGAGAGTATTGCCCGTTGTCAGAGGCATAATTGCAAGGCATGCTACAAGAAGAACCATAGTGGATGGATTGAAACCAAAGGAGCGGATGGCAAGCAAGAGAAAAACCATAACTTTCGCATGGAACAACAGCCGCTCGAAGAAACAAGAGGCGGGGAAGAAAGAGATCGACCTCGTAATTAAGTGAGAGCCCTTCCCGGAGGGACGACTCGGCCTCCTCGATGTTGCCATCGTCGAGCTTGGCCTCCACCTCGGCGGTCTTCATGGAGAGTCCGTTCACCGACACCTCCCGCTCCTTCACGGACACCTCACCCTCATCCCCGCCTGCCACGTCCCCTTCGAACCCCCCGACCCCCATGTCCGCTCCCTCGGATTTCGCCGCCATCCCCCTCCGCGGCCGCAGATGCCGTCGCGCATTCGACCACCGCCCGCCTCAACGAGGACGGAAGCCCGACGAGCTTTCGATGATGAACGCGAACAAGGACAGGCCGATCAATGAAGAGGGGATCGCGTTGAAGTCGGCGGTGGCTCGTCTCATGGCCGGGAGGAGGAGGAGAGGAAGTGGGGACGGTAATGGGAAGCGTTGCGTAGCGCGAGATCCGGGGGGACCGCTCTCTGACCAACGGTGGTCCTATATATATATATATATATATATATATATATATATATATATGCCACTTAATATTAAGTGAATATTAGGCAAAAACGAAAGAAGAACTTCTCCCGCGTCTACGCGAATCCCCGCACCCCTACCTGTCTAGTGATAGGAGGCTGGGACAACATCATCGAGGAGTCCCACCTCTGGCCCCACAATTCTTCCTATCAAGGAGCACACGGGTGATTCGGGTACAAGTAAGTGAGCCGGAGCCCTGGTGAACCCGGTTCGCAAGACAACATTTTGAATTTGATGAGTTATAAGTATAAATATTTTGTAATTAATAAGCAAAACAATAGTATGAAATAGTTCATCAAAAGCTGAATTATTCACTCATAAATTAAAAATGTGAGTTATTTTTTGTTTATGACCAAAGTAATTCACCTTATTACGAGAGGACCAATTGATTCATACACTCGTCAGTTCAACTATTTGAATGTTACATGTAGAGTTGGTATTTACACTTGCAGTTCAGATGGATTGCCGAAACGGGCGCGTGAAAGAACAACGAATGAAAAAGGAGAAAATAGTATCAAAATCCAACTATACCACTCAAAATGCCAAATAAGAGGTTTTTTCCTGCAATATGTTAATCACATGTAAAGCAAAAAAAAAAAAACAATTCACCATCTTATAATTGAAAGATAATATTTTTTGTTAAAGAAAAAACCCCTTATGAAGTTAGTATACACAATTATAATTAAGATAGATGATATGATTGTCACAAGCTCATATAACAATTGTATGGAAAAGTAATACGTGAAAGAAAAACATAAAATAGCATCTAAATCCATTATTGAGGTGCATCTCAAAATACATGTGCGACATGCAATATTTCATATCATGTTTTGTAGTTGCTGATCGTGTGAATTGTAATACGTCAAATTTAATATGGGGATCTAATTACAATAAAATAACAAAAAGAGGAGAATAAGAGAGGGAGGATCCTAGAAAAAAAAAAAATCGAGAAGAGGGTGATCAGTTGAATATATATTTACTATGTATGGTGATCGTTAATTGATTTAGGAGTAATTGATTTAACCTCTCAAACATCTGACAAGGTTTTATAATGATATAAATCCTCAAATGCTTTTTTTCATAATTCATATAGCTCAAACAATTAGTCGTATTACTAATCAAACAAATATGTTTATAAAATATCAATATAAAAAATTATTTTAAAATAATTTAATTAGCATTGTTGTTATAAAATTGATGACAAGTTGATTAGATTTTATATTGGTCCTATCAAAAATAAAAAGAAAAGAGAATGTAAATCTAGGTTTTCTTAATACTGTTGTAGCTTTTGGTTTCGATGACGGTACACATTCAGATCAAATAAAGGTTTTCTGAATAACATCAAAAGGTACGTATCATATATTTGATTTTAGTTTTAATTATTAAAATTTTTTACATAATAATATAATTATAATTTTTATGCTTATAATTATTATTAGAGTAATATTTTGAAATCAAATACCTTATATCATAAAGGTATGTCATATCCATTTTTATTTAGAACTATTTGTTAGCACCCTTCATTTACGAAAAGGTATTATCTGATTTTGATTATATAATAATTGAATGATTTATTTGTATTGTCGATATACTTTATTATTTCGTCTGTCCCATCATCCGCTTGCGAGCAATCAAATGTTCATTGTGTTTGATCGATATACTACCATCGACAACATTATTGAGGGTAGTAGCCTTCGATGATCGTCGGCCCAATCATGGGCAACGATTGCATACAGGTATTACTGTATACAACAAAAGTGCCATGTGTTGCATTATGTGCAGTAACCTTGCAATGGGTGACCTGACTTGGTCGCAAGTGACTAAAGAATTATCACTACATGTGACGCCTATAGTGGTGTCATCACCTGTGACAACTACAATACTACCTTTGATCGAGGACTGCAACGATATCGTTGCAACGTTTGTTGGCCACAACCGACGTCGATTGGATGCCGAAGGTCATGATACCCAATGACGATGGTGGTGATTGTCAATCAATGCATAACCACATGTGGGTGCAACAACATTATGTAACGACGATGTGGTCATTGGTCAATCGTATGAGAATAGTCGTGCCACCAAGGGTGACATGTAAGCAATAAATGATCGATGCACCATCGACGAGACTCGCACGTGTGAGCAAAGTGGAGAGGTTTTAGGATTTTTTTTATTAACTAAAAGGATATTTTTATCTCAAAAAATTTAGATAATTTTAAAAATTATAAAATATTATTTTATTTTATTACTTTCTCATATGGCATATTAATATTTTTTGCATGTGATAATTAAATTATAATTATTTATTTATTCACATGCATATACCTAAAATTATGAAATAATTTTTATTTTTTATGTAAAGATATGATTTATATTTTATCATGATTATAATTATTATATGACTCTTTCTTTATACTGATCAATGTTCACACAATTGTGAATAACTAAACAATTGAATAACTCTAACAAGAAATTTTCACATAAATTTCTTTATGTTGATTATTTTTAAAATGATTAAAAATTTAGTCAAAATATGTATTTTTAAAATTACTTAGAAAATAATCAAATAAATAAAAATATTTCTTATGTATGCATATTTGGAAGTCTATTACATGCTAAAGTCTATATTAAAAAGCTATAAAGAAAGTAACATATATGTAATTACATATATGAAATTTAATTAGCTTGAATTGAATGTATTTTTAGATGTTGATTATGTGAATTAGCTCAGTAGTAAGTCCACTTTATATTTTATATTTATATTAGTTGGATGAGCAATTTATAGGGAAAAAAAGAGTAAAGTAATATATTATTATATTATCAATAATAGAAATTAATTTTATGATATGCTTTGAGGCCACTAATTAAGTTTTATGATTGTAAAATTTTATTTCAGGATTTAATATGGTTAGACTCGATTGTCATGTCGCTAATGATACTTCGTGATATATCATCGTAGTTTTCTTCTCCAAGAATAACAAGTACGTTAGTAATCCTATGTATTATTGTATGAAGTATTTAATGATTAATGAAAAGAGTCTAGAAATAATTAATATTAATTAAGAACTTAAATTTTACTATATTGATTATTGATCATTCATTTATATCTGACTGTCTAAAGTGTTTCAAAGAATATATTCTTTTGATTGGGTTTATGAATAACCCATAAAATATATAGTGATGTGTGTTTGAGTGAACATTAAAATTGATATTTTTATTTATATAATTAAAATTATTTATTTATGTTATACTGCTTATATTTAAGATTGTCTTGATAAAATAAATTATATTAATTATTTTGAACTATATTAAGAAGGGCTAACATTATTGTGATACATAGAAAATGATATTGATGATATATATCTGCTATGACTCGCATTGGTACTCAAACTTAATGGGCTAAATAGAAAAATGTTAGACTATGTGACATTATCTAATTAGGTAAAATATATTATAGATATGATTGGATTTTGATTATGATTGTTGATTAATAGAAATAAAATCCATTCATGATAGAATTTTTTAGGAGACGATGGTGATGGTGATGGTTGCCAATCGATGCATAACTGCATGTGGGTGCAACAACATTAGGTAATGACGATGTGGTCGCTAGTAGGTGCACAGTCGTATGTGGGCATGACGATGATGAGGTCATTGGTCAATCGCGTGAGAATAGTCGTGCCACCATGGGTGACGTGCAAGCGATGAATGATCGATGCATCGCCGACGAGACTCGCGCGTGTGAGCAAAGTGGAGAGGTTTTAGGATTTTTTTATTAACTAAAAGGATATTTTTATCCCTAAAAATTTAGATAATTTTAAAAACTATAAATTAATATTATTATTTATTATTTTCTCATGTGACATATTAATATTTTTTTTGCATGTGATAATTAAATTGTAATTGTTTAGTTATTCACATGCATATACCTAAAATTATGAAATAATTTTTATTTTTCACTTTTCACGTAAAGGTATGATTTATATTTTATCATGATTATAATTATTATATGACTTTTTCTTTATTCTGATCCATGTTCATACAACTGCGAATAACTAAACAATTTAATAACTCATATAATAACAAGAATTAAAAATTTTCACATAAATTTCTTTATGTTGATTATTTTTAAAATGACTAAAAATTTTAGTCAAAATAAGTATTTTTAAAATTACTTAGAAAATAATCAATTAAATAAAAATATTTCTTATGTATGTATATTTGGAAGTCTATTACATGCTCAAGTCTATACTAGACCTAGGTATCAATTTTATAATCGGAATACTAGATATATCTTAGAGATATCCAAGAATGAAATATTAAAAAGCTATACAGAAACTAACATATATGTACTTACATATATGAAATTTAATTAGCTTGAAATGAATAAATTTTTAGATGTTGATTATGTGAATTAGCTCAGAAGTAAGTCCACTTGGATGAGCAATTTATAGGAAATAAAATGAGCAAAGTAATAGAAGTTGATTTTGTGATAGTTGTGAGGCCACTAATCAAGTTTTATGATTGTAAAATTTTATTTCTGGATTTAATATGGTTATACTCAATTGTCACGTCGCTAATGATACTTCGTGATATGTTATCGTAGTTTTCTTCTCCGAGAATAACAAGTACATTAGTAATTCTATGCATTATAGTATAAAGTACTTAATGATTAATGAAAAAATATAAAAATAATTAATATTAATTAAGAACTTGAGTTTTACTTTATTGATTCTTGATCATTCACTATATCTTACTTCTAAAGTGTTTCAAAATATATTCTTTTGATTGAGTTTATGAATAACCCATAAAAGATATAATGATGTATGTTTGAGTGAACATTAAAATTTATATTTTTATTTATATAATTAAATTTATTTATTTCTATTATACTGCTCACATTTAAGATTATCTTGATAAAATGAATTACATTGATCATTTTGGGTTATATTAAGAAGAGCTAACATTGTATTGATACATATAAAATGATATTGATGATATATAACCATTATGACTCGCATTTGTACTCAAACTTAATGGGCCAAATGAAAAAATATTAGACTATGTGATATTATCTAATTAGGTAAAATATATTATAGATATGATTGGATTATGATTATGATTATGATTATCGATTGATAGAAAGAAAATCTATTAATGATAGAATTTTTTAAGAGACAATATATATACATACACATACACATATATATATATATATATATTTATATATATACACACATATTTATATTTATATAGACATATAGATATATATATATAAATAAATAAATAAAATAAATAAATAAATATATCGATGAAAGTGAAGGATATTTTTTATTAAATCGATAGGAGAGGCACCCCCAAGTAGAAAATCATTCTTCGTAAAAGTTTAACACCGGAGGAGATAAAATATCATATATACTTTTTAAATTAAATATATATTAAAATATTATTAATTAGACACGTCACTTGACCAATTGATGCATCGATCCGACTAGCGATTAGCATCAGGAGTCACGACCTTCGTCTCCTGGAGGCGGCGCGTCCGAACTCGTAACGTGGACGTGGGTCCATTTTCTATAACACGAAAAAGAGAGAGGGCAAGAGGCAAAAGAAGTCGACTCGCGTTAGGGTTTTCTTTTGTTCCGGTACCGTGTCCTCTCATTTCTTACTCCGTCGCGTCTCTTCTCGGAGAGGAAACCCAGAGGACGAAGGGGAGGTCGGGGGCTGAGTCCACGACGCGCGTCTGTCGAGGTGACCATCTCCGTCTTCGCATTCGAGCTTTTCCATGTCGTTATTTGTCTCTTTGTTTTGTGGTTTTAGGGTTTTGATGGTTCCCGCTTGGTTTCATGCGAGAAAGTTAGGGCTTTTGAGTGCGTAGATCTTTACTTGGTTATGACGCTGTTACTTGGGTTTAAGAATCACCGAAACTTCGGTGATGGGAGGCAAAGCGCGTTAAGAGTCCCATTTGTTTGTCTATGCTTTTAGAATGACCCGATATGGTTTAGGAAATCCGGTGTTCTGGTAATATTTGCTTTCGTTTCATCATGTGCGTGCGTCCATGCTGCTATCTGGAATGTTGAGTTCAGTTTCTGAACGTTTTGCTTTGTTTGATTTCCGTTTCTTGATTTTTTTCCCGCAGTTTGGAGTTGATATAGTCTTGAAAGGGGAGATGATAGGATTTCATAAGTGGTCCGGTCGGACAAAATTCTTCCCTTCCATCATACATGGCTGGAAATTAGGATCTATTTTCATGCATGTACAAAATATGAGAATGTTGGTCTTCGGTTGATCTCAGAAGAACAAGTCATCTTATTTTTGTTTGTTTTTGAGCAGCCACTTCAAGATGATTTTTTTTTTCTCGTTACAGGGAAGATATAAAATCATGGTACTCTGGCTTTTGGGCTGGTCTAATATATTTAGTTTCACAATGAAAAGTTGCTTATTGATTTTTTTTGTGTTTAGGAGTTGAATACAAGCATTGAAGAGATGTTTTTCATTGTCAGAAAACAATTTGGGGTTTGACAGTTCCGAAGCTGGAATTTAGTCAAGCTTTCGGCATGGCAACAGCTGAGGCGGCTGCAGGTTCACTGGGTCCACATTATGCCCCTGACGACCCAACACTCCCAAAGCCGTGGAAAGGTTTAGTCGATGGTAATACTGGCCTTCTGTACTACTGGAATCCAGAAACTAATATCACACAGTATGAGAGACCTGCTTCGTCGGTACCTCCGCTGCCACCTGGTCCTCCCCCCTCGGCTTCTGTGCCAAAGTTGGCCCCAATTCCCATGGCTGGTAACCTCCCTCCCAATGGCACTGCCTTGCAGCAAGGCACCCAGCAGATTGTTCAGCAAGCTGCCCTTCCAGCACAGCAGCAGCAACAGCCCAGCCAACACTTATTTCAACAGCAGCAGCAACAATCGAGTCAACAACTTCCAGGTCAGCAGCCTGGTCCCCAAGCACTGCTACCAAATGCCCAGCAAATACCAATTCAGCAGCCACACCATTCTACAAATCAGCAGATGACACAGCAGCAGACATCTCGACAGTACATGCAAATTCAGTCTCAGCATGCTCCATACCAGCATGTTTCTTATCTTCAAGGGCCATTACTGCCGCCTTCCCAGGTTCAACAACAACAGGGATTTCAATTTTCTCATCAGCAGGGACAGGAACCTCAAGGACCACAAATGACATATCAGCCGGGGCAACAACCACAAAGTTTGCAAATCCCGAATCAGCAACATCCGAAGGAGTCTCTGACCTTGAATCAGCAAGGTCAGCAAACACATGGGCTGCAGATCCCACTATCACAGGGGCTTCCAATTTTGTCTCAGCAAACCCACCATGGTCTACAAGTTGGACAACAGCAAGGTCGCCAGTCACAGGGCCTTCAGGCTGGAAGCCAACTAGTGCAACAGCCACAAGGACAGCAACCCAGATTCCCCTGGGTGGAGGATGCACTGCATCAAGAGGGGAAACAGGGTTCCCTTTCTTCATCTGGCATTGCATCTTCTAGTCATCACCTGCCAGGTTTAGTTCCTCAGGTCAGCATTCCATCAGTGGGTGGCCGACCACCTCAGTCACCTAATCAACTTGGTGGATCTGTGCAAAATGTTTCATCAAGTCAGGTGGGAATAGATACAAGCTACGGTAAACAACAGCAAGCAGGCTCTGCTGTCCCCAGTCCAATGGGGCATCCAGTGGTTCATCCTCCCATTGGAGGAAAAGTTGCGTATGATGAGGATGAACATGAATTTTATCCTTCTAGCAGAATGGAAAGACCGATGATGTATCCTCATCAACCAAAGCTCGCTGCTATTCCCCTTCCACAAAGACAGCCTGTATGCTTTACTTTTTTTTTCATACATTTTCTTTTATTTCATATCTGAACAGAGTAATACAATATATTTTTTTTCTGATAACTAGAGTAATACACATTAGGATACATCATTTAGTTGCTAAATGCACAAAAGAAAAATGATTGTGCAAAAGGATTCAGCATTATTTCATTTAATCAATGAATTGCCTGGCCTCTCTTTCTGAAACAAAGATGAAAATAGGACAATTCTCATGTGTCTTTTATTAGTTTCTTGTTATTCTTGAGAATATCGGTTATTTTTGTGAAGCCTTTTATTTGCTTTTCCCCATTAGTTTTTAAATACTTTAAAATTGGCTATATGTTCTTGTGGTAATTCTGTGAGTTTGTTTTATATCCTTCTGGAATATATTTTGAATAATACCAAATGTCCCTTCTTGCACTCTTTAGGTTATTTTTTTCCAGACCATGCTTCACATGCATCCAACTGTATCATTTGAATGTGCTTGTATACACATTACTAATTAGGTGGAACTCCTGGATTCTGTTTCTGCTTTTGCATTATAATAATATCAATGTCAATTAATTTATTTTGTCATCTATGAGTTGATTCTGCCATGAATTATGTGTAAGGCTTCTGAGTCATTACATTTTTTTCTATTAATTTCATTACATCTATATCATCGTGACATTTTATAATTTTTAACCCTTAATGGTGGACTACATATGGTATCATGTCACTGAACATTCAGTGATTGACTGACAGCATGTTTAACCATCCATTTGAGAAAGAGGTTATCTATAAATTAGTTGGTTTCCGTTATGGGTAGATTTTCTCACCTTCCTGATATTTCCAGTATTCAAGATCTAATTTACATGATTGGTCCTGATTTGTTAAACTACAGATGAATACTTGCTTGAAATGTTCACTTCCCTCATTTGTTGTTTCCTGACGAAGTTCTACTGAAATTATTTAAACTATCCTCCACTGAGATTAATTGCTACAAAGGGATAGGAAGAATCAAGTAGTTAAGAAACTATTTTATTTACTTGTCCCAGGTCCTTTGTTTTCCAAAGTCCAAAGTGGGTTTTCTAGCTCACTGTTGTATCAGAATTGTTCAATGATTTCTACTCTATTATCTAATATATAGTTTGCACAAACTTTTTTAATACTGAATTAATTGTACACTTTGACAACTTGGCTACCTCAAAGAAAAAGATTCTTGTTCAGTGCCTGATTATGATGAGGGATTTGACATATTGCTATCCTTGGCTGGAGAATCCCTTATCGGGGACCAATAAAATGAGCTTGGGTTGGGCTAAATTTGAATTAGGATTCCCCGAGATTGGCTTGGATTGTTTGGGATCAGCTGATCATTGGGTTAGGGTCATATAACTTACTAAATTGGGCTGTTGCCAGAGCATATTTGATATGTTGTAAAAGCTTTCATGGGACTTGACTGGAGTAGCTGATGGCTCTTTAACTGTCATCGAAAGCATGCAAAGTAGTAAAAAAATATATTTGGATGAAATCGTGTGGAAGGATGTGGAGGACGAAGTTTTCTGGCTGAGTGTTATAAATTTGATGCACAATATGCAAAATATGATCATAGAATTTAGCTTCAAAAACATTGTACAGGAACAGGTCTGAAGGGTGACAATAATCTGGCTACAAATTTACATAAATAGGATCTTGTGCTTGATGTGAGAGCTGGTAGGGATCTGATATATGTGACATAACAATCTCATGCTGTGATACTGTTAGATGTATTTATTTTTTTCCTTATTATGAAAGATAAGTTTGCTAAGCTAATCAGATTGTTGATCCTGGTGACTCATAAGTGTTATCCTGTACCAGGATGGAGGTATCCGACCCCAGTTTGACCTACCTAGTCTTTCAGGCGGAATGAGTATGGGTCCACAACATGCACTGCCAAATATGTATGGTCGTTCTGCCTTTCCTAATTCAGGTATCTTGGGACCATCACAAGTAGGGTTTGGCTCATCAGATTTTTCAGATGTTTCTGCAGCTGATGCATATCGGCAGCACCATGAAGTTACTGCAATGGTAAGAAATGATGTCATACTACATTTTATAACAATTGAATGTAAGGTAGTTGATGCTTTTGAATTGTATTGAGCTGATGCTTTTGAGTTGTTGCAAGAACCTATGGATATGACATGGCCTATAAACATACAATATACATGTTTTAAAGACTGTTCCATGGTACAGAGGAATATTCAAATTGGGTAAATATAACAGTTGTCAACCTCATGCATTTAAATATCATTTGCATTGATATAAGCTTGTGGAATATTCTTTATGCAAGGCAAAAGTAATGAAAGAGCAGCGACTTCTCTTTTATACGATTATTTCAGGTTTTGGAAATTTGGATCAGGTAGACTAGTTGGGATTTAACTTAGTGCCAGCTTACTATCATTTATTATCTGTACTGAATGATTTTTCCCTCTTAGCTTGATACCTTATTATTGCATGGCATCAGTAAACGGTGTTTGCTATTTTCTTAGGGCAACGATGTTCCTCCACCATTTATGACATTTGAAGCCACTGGCTTTCCTCCAGAGATTCTTCGGGAGGTAATATAACTTTTTGTTTCAATGGCTCTATCTATTTAAATTGCTCCAAATATTTGTTGTTTCCTGTTCTTTAACCTTTTCCTTGAGAATAAATGGGAAGCTCACTTTGTTCCTACTAGTTGATTCTTATCACTTTAAAGAAGGGGTTACCTGCTGATTCTTACTGTTATGACTGCTGTTTAATTTGCTTCTTAGAGCAGTATAGGTGGACATGTCTTCCTATGAGGCGTGAAAGCTTGTCAGTTTCATCTATCCAAATCTATTTCTGTATCAGATTTGTGCTGGATATGATTGTGTGTTGTCATATGTATATATAGATATGTGAATCTGGCTGTCTGATGTCCTCTGGATATGGATACAGAAATGAGTTAAGTTTTAATGATATACTGGTTGGACCAACATGTACAATCATTATTTGTTGTTTGGGCCAAGTATCAGTGTCACAGTGTATAGCTTGATATGATATAGAATTTTATTATTTTATTCAATGATACTGGGTGGTATAGTTGGTGAGGTGGTACCATCCCGATTCATTGGTTCATATTGGACCAGTATATAAACCATGATCTGAATATCTAAGTGTACCTGAAAGTGTTGAATATATTCGTATTAACCTAAGAAAAAAAAGTTATTGATTATTTGTTTCTTGTTAAACAAGATTCATATAGTATTCACATCTGCATCTGCCTAAAATTTCATTTGAATTCATCCGTCATATACCCTGTTTGCATCTCCAACTTTGTTAAACAAATTTGGTTAAAAAAATATAGTGTCCATTTGATATCTATATCCAAATTCATTTTTCTTGGTTAGAAGTGGATACAGATATATATGCTTTATTATTTAATCCATATGTAATCATTGTTAACCCTGCTTCTTACTGAATACTTGACTACATTGTTACTGCTCACTTGTTGGGGTGCCAGTCCTATGTTCTCTTTTTTTTGCCAAAAAACATGCAGTTCTATTTTCCTTCTTGGTTTTGCTGTTATTGCAAAGCCAAGAACTTCCCTTTTCAAATATTGGACCTTTTTGGTTGCTAATTGGATTGGATGGTTGAAATTTTGTTTACCGGTTGAGAAGAAGAAGAAGAAGAAGAAGAAGAAGAATTAAAAAAAAGGAAACAGGAAAGAGAATTAAAGCACCACAACAATTCAAAATGACCAAAACGAAAACAGACAAAGAAGAGGAGAGTGTACTACTCTTGTTTGTGACTTTTCTTTCCTTTCATGGACCTTTTTGGTCACTAATTGGATTGGATGGTTGAAATTTTGTTTACTGGTTGAAGAAGAAGACAGGAAAGAGTATTCAAGCACCATGACAATTCAAAATGACCAAAATGAAAACAGATAGAAAGAACAGAAGAGTGTACTCCTCTTGTTTGTGACTTTTCTTTCCTTTCATGGTCGCTTCAAGTGATTAGATTATGCAATCTGGGCTAGATCACTTGTGCTGGCAAACTGGTTTTAGGCCTTGAACCTATGTGACACATAATGGTCATGATCTGTTTATACGTTTTTTATAAATTTCGTATTGGACCTTGAAATTTGATAATTTTACCTAAGACTGGGCTGTCAGTTTTTAAATGTTCTGCTCTCATAATAGTATATACTACTCTGTATGGATGATATCATGAGAAAGGAAACCTTGTGTCTGGTTTTTTGCTTTTTGGATGAAGAGCGTTTTTTGTTTTTGGCTCGTTGCATTGTGTCATTTTACCTTTCAATCACTTTATTTTTTTTCACTTGTAGCAGGATCAGTTAGTAATGATATGGTTGGGATAAGGTGGATCAACTGATTAATTGATAGGATCATAATTGTCTAGAAAATAATTGGAAACCAAAAATTAAAAATCACATTGCAAATAGAAAAAATCAAATAATTATAGAAAATGAAAATAAAAAAAGAGACATAGGAAATATTGTTTTGTTATGACATTTTAGAACTTATTAAAATGTTCAAATTACACTGTTAAGAGTTTGGAACAAATTTAAAAAAATAAAAATAGTTTTTTTATATTTATAATTTTTCTGTGGTTATTGTTTCATATTGCACAGTTTCATCCCCAGAACTTGCTCATTCTTTTGTTGGTTTTTTTTAAAAACATGTATGACACATGGGGCCCTTGTATTTTTAGAGAACCTTGTCAAAACGCGTGAGTTATTGGAATGAATCTTTGGCACCTTTTTCTAGATTAGGGTGCATGAGATTTAGGTTTTGGGAGGGTCACCAATGCTTCGTCCTCATCAGTGGTAGAAGCAGAAGGTGGAGGCATCAAAGGCTTCTGTTGGTGATTTTTGGCTCTGGTGGTGAGTCAATATCTCCCTTCTCCTCCACCTTGTATCCTCCTCCACCATCTCCTTTTCTTATGTAATATTGCCAAAATCGCATTCTTAGTTAGGATGAAGGTTCAGAATCTCAGATCATAGGCTCATAAGATCCTAACACATAGGGAAACTTTAGCTTTTAAGGATTATACATATATTATATGTATGCCAATTATAAGATTGACATGTCCATTAGGAGCTTGTTTGTGGTAAGCTTTAACATAGGAGTCAATGTAATGTTGGTAATAGATTATGTCAATTATGAGTTTGTAATCCATGCTTGCTACTGCTTTTAGTACATGTTTCATATGTTTAACATCTTGTTAGAGCTAAAAGTTACATTGGTGATGATGAAGGGTCAATTTTGAAGTGGTCTTTTTTCATCATTTATATCTTGAATTAGCAAACAAGCAACTGTGGAAAAAGGAACATACTATCTGGTATGTTTTTAATGTGTATTGTCAGAGTCATTATACTGTGAGATTCAGAGTGATGACACTGTAAACCCAGATTTGAAAAAGAAAGGATGCCTTCATTTTGTGACACAACTTGCAGTATGGGTGAAATCTGTACTTTTTTTTTTATAAACTGAGGACAATGATCATGGGTGAGCCAGAGATTCATTTAAAGAGAGTAAAAAAATGTGCTATTTAGAATTCTTGACAGATACTCAATTCTTATTTATTTATCTAAGTCCGAATACAAAAGTTAAGTAACCTTACTTGGGTTTGATTTTGGTTATTTCTTTGGGTCTAGCTTGTCTAAGGTGGTTTGGACTGCAAGGTTGTGTTACCCTATGGCCCAAATCTTGAGTTCACCAACAATGTTATTATGTTTCCTCCATTCTTATTCTTGTCCTCCTTTCTTCTCATCAGATATTGTCCATTGGCCATCAGAAGCCAGCCAGAGTCGGTGTTTAGACAGAGAAATCGGCCAATCATATAGGGACTTGCTGATATAATCAGATTGTATGATTGTGATCATAATACTGGTCTTGAAAACTAAATAAATGGGACAAATGCTTGCAGTGTGTATAAAATTCTTTTACACCCCCCATTAATGGACAAACTTCTTATCTAATGGACATGTTAATATATGATAGAAACAAGACTGACCCTTCTTCATTGGTTGTAGTTGTGCATAGTAATTATTGAAAAACCAGTTTGACCGGGCTGTGTCGATTGGTATTTGTCGGTTTGACCTGGTTCAGGCATGTGGACACGGTGATTTTGCTCTGTTTGGTTTAAAACTAGGCTTGCCACATGGTATGATTCCCATATCGGGCATACCACTTGGTACCCTTATTAATTTTTTGACAGCTTTTGTTAACACCTTTTCTTTTGTTTTCTGCTTTTATTTTTGCTCTCCTTCGATGCTTCTTTTCTCGCCCCACTTTTTTTCTCAGTCTATTTCACATATTTCTCTCTACCCTACTCCCCGCCACATTGTTGATGTTGCCCCACTGCATCATCATCATCATTCATCACTCCACAGAGCCGTCGTTGTCCTTCTCTGTCGTTGCCACTGCCATCCCTTCTTCCTCTGCCTCCTTACCTTCTTCTCCTCCGCCTCTCTCTTTCTCCGTGTTCTTCACCTCTCCTGTTCCTCCTTTCACCTCTTTCATTGCCTCCTCCTCCTTCCATCTCCACTTACTCCTCACCTTTTCCTTCTCCTCCCCTCCTCCCCCTTCTCCAGTTCTCTTCCTCCTCATCTGCCTTTTACCTTTCCCTCCTCTTTTCTCTTACTCTTTCTCTTGGTTCAAGCACTCCTGACTTGCTGAGTTTTGGTATGTTGGGGCCATGCCAGAACTGTATCAGTATCAGATTGAGATTTTAAACCTTGGTGCAGAGTGTTCATAGTGTGGAAATGTGTGATTTGCATCTTTGAAGCCTTCCATTTTTGGCCACTAAAACCAACAAGAAGTTAAAAGTTGGACTAAAAACTTTGGATACTAGTGTCTTGGAGTTGGACTCAACAATTGGGCCTCGTTAGTGATCATAGGAGGTTGATTATGGACACCTGACTATGATCTTACTCGGTCAAAAATGATTACCAACAAGAAGTTTAGATCTTTTGATTAGAAAACCAAGAAGGGAACTCTGCTTCCCTCAATATTACAATCCAGTAGATCTCATGGGAGATCCTACAATCAAAGCCATATAAGAGCAAGGAAAGACTGCAAGAATTACATTCATATCTTTTATGAACTGGGTTTTGGAAAAATGTATATGGTGCACTATAGAAAGGAATGCATTAACAATACTCATTTAATAGAAATAAGGAACATCATGTTCTATGGAATGACCTTTTTTTTGTGAGGGGGGAGGGGGGTGGGGGGGTTTGGGTTTACTGTATGAGTAGTATTTTTTCATATTGACAAAAACATACGACTTGTGTAGTTGTTAGAAATAGATCCATATCTTTCAATGAAAAATATAAAAAAGTTTAATACGTTAGTGTTACTTTGTTTTGGTCGGCACGCCGAACATGAGTATAATGATGTTAAACCAGTAAATGCTGGTAAGTAGATGGCATGTATGTATCATTGATTTGTATAATATGATTGAGTTATTTTCTTATTGTTATTATTACATTCTAGTGCTTGGTTGACATATTTTTTGTCTTGATTGCTTTTCAGATGCATCTGGCTGGATTTTCATCTCCAACACCTATACAAGCACAAACATGGCCAGTTGCTCTACTGAAAAGGGACATAGTTGCCATTGCCAAAACTGGTTCAGGGAAGACACTAGGATATCTTATTCCTGCATTTATTCATCTGAGACGATGTCGAAATAATCCTCAATTTGGTCCAACCGTGTTGGTTTTGGCTCCAACTCGTGAGCTTGCTTCACAAATACAAGATGAGGCTTTTAAATTTGGCCGTTCTTCGAGGATATCTTGCACTGTAAGTCCTGATTTGTTGCATTATTATCTCCATTTTCGGGTCAAATGGCCTCTAAGGGTATCTCGATGATGTTAACATTTTGTGGTTGATTGTTGGTAAGGTCCATTATTAAATGCAAGGCTTAACTGCAACATGAGCAGAAAGTATTGTGATGATTGCTTAGAAGTTTGCTAGACTACATGAACCATATTGCATGTTCTAGCAGTAGCCTTTTGTTCATGCAACTATTTCATGTTACCTTATACTTGTATAGTTACCTGGCCTAAAGTTCTCATAAATCAACTTGTTTGATAGATCTAGCTTCTGAGTATGAGTTTTCTCTCTGAAATAGAGTAGGAGGGTCAGGAACCATGAGCTATTATTACAGTATGACAGTTATTCTATTGTTAAATTCTTTGATGTTACTAAATAATGAATAAGTTCTTGCATCTTTTCATTTTTAATATATGATGCCTTTGGTTATTGATTTTTGCTGACATTAAATTTTTTTAGTGTCTGTATGGAGGAGCTCCAAAAGGGCCGCAACTTAAAGAAATTGAACGAGGAGCAGATATTGTAATCGCAACACCTGGTCGCCTCAATGATTTTCTTGAGATGAAGAAGATTAGCTTTTGTCAAGTTTCTTTGCTGGTCCTTGATGAAGCAGATCGCATGCTTGATATGGGTTTTGAGCCCCAGATTCGGAAGATTGTGAATGAGATCCCTCCGCAAAGGCAAACTCTCATGTATACAGCAACTTGGCCAAAGGAAGTGAGAAAAATAGCCAGTGATCTACTGAGGAATCCTGTTCAGGTTAACATTGGCAGTGTTGACGAGCTTGTTGCAAACAAGTCCATCACACAGGTAATTGTATGAACTACATGTTTTATTTGTTTCATCTGCTGCTTATTTAAATTGTCTTATTCCAGTAGAGAATTGTAGAAATATACTTATGAGTAATTGTCAAGAAACAGGATTACTTTTCCACTTTTATATATTTCACTTACGTTTTTCCACTGTATCAGATGTGTTCAAATGTGTTCTGCTTTGAATATAATTGTCATACCGGATTACTTGTTGATTTTCTTACAAATATAATTTTTCTTAATTGTTTGTGGATATCTTGCTTTTAGCCTATCTGCGCTGATGAGAATTTCTTTTACTTGTCATGTTTGTTCATGTTACCTTTTCCTCGTCTCTTGTTTTATTAGTATTGAGGTTCACTTTTAGTTTTGAACATTCAGCATGTGGAGGTGGTCACCCAGATGGATAAACAAAGACGCCTAGAGCAGATTCTTAGAACTCAAGAACGTGGATCCAAGGTCATCATTTTCTGCTCCACAAAAAGGCAGTGTGACCAGCTGGCCCGCAGCATTGGACGAACTTTTGGTGCTGCTTCCATTCACGGTGACAAGTCTCAGGGTGAGAGAGATCATGTTCTATACCAGTTTCGCACTGGCAGGGCACCAGTTTTAGTTGCTACTGATGTTGCTGCCAGGGGACTTGACATCAAGGACATCAGGTAAGGCTCTTGTCTAGTCGATAACAGTTTCCATTTTTTTAGTTTTAAATTTTCAAGGTGAAGATCCTTAGATGCATTAGTTTGAGTTGCTGGAAACGTTTAGAGAGAAGTTTTAATTATTTGTGAGATTTTTTAATTATTTTAAGTTACAGGCTTTTGTTGCTTTTATCAATTGCTTGTGTCTGGTTCGGTGACAAGTAATTGTCAAACCCAGTTCCCTTTGATGGATCAATATCTTTTACATATGTAGGCAAATGGTAGAAGTAGAAGTTCAGATGTGGGAATTGTTCTTGTTTCCTTCACTGCTACAATTAGGTTCTGGCTATCATTAGGATAATAGTGAATAAATTTAATCGCTGTTTCTCTATAATGAATGTATTGCATTGTTATACTCTGCTTCTATATGATGAAACTTAGTGAACAGTAGTGTTTGAATGGCTTCCTTGTGTGATCAAGATATTCTTGTTGGTGTATCCTACTATTGAAGTGTGGAAAATGGAAATATGAAAGGACAACTGGACCAAACGATTGAGGTACCTAACTGGCCTGTTTAAAAGAAATTAGTTCAGCTCTATTTATTGTCAAGAAGCTTGACACATTCCATGAATATTTTCCATTACACACTGAATTTTCTATTGGAGTTGAGTTCAAAATTTCTTAATTTGATAACTTATAACATGGTTACATCTAAGATCTCTCTTGAATTGCTTCTTGTGCTTTCGATCCATCTCTTATATATGAATTGGCGTGTATGATCTAAATCATGAGGGATTTGTAACATTATATTTTTGGATGACATCTGTGGCCAACATCCTCTCTCATATCTTGCCATCATTGTGTTACAGGGTGGTTATCAATTATGATTTTCCTACAGGGATTGAGGATTATGTCCACAGGATTGGAAGAACTGGGAGGGCTGGGGCTACAGGAGTTTCATACACATTCTTCACCGATCAGGACTGGAAGTATGCAACTGATCTTGTAAAAGTCCTCGAAGGTGCAAACCAGCGTGTCCCACCTGAGATCCGTGAAATGGCTGGTCGTGGTGGGCCCCTTCTCTCTAGGCCTCGTGATGGAATAAACCGTTGGGATTCAGGCGGTGGTGGCGGCGGTGGCAGGTGGAGTGCTGTAGGTGGTCGTGGCATGAGGGATGGTCCTCCTGGTGGCTTCAGTGGGCGTGGTGGTAGGCAAGATTTCTATGGTGGGCGTGGACCTAGAGGCCGTGGGTTTGGTGGACCTGGTGGGCCTGGAGGTCGTGGCCGGCATGACCGTGGTCCTAACGACCGATATGTTAACTCGGATGGGCGAAACCGGTCTGACGGTCGTAGGGGGTTTGGAGAGAGGGGTAGGGAAAGAAGTTATAGCCGTAGCCCGGAGATGGTTCGCACATGGGGTTACGATAGAAGCAGAAGTGCAAGTAGGAGTAGGAGCAGTAGCAGGAGCCGCAGCCGGAGCCGGAGTAAGAGTTGGTCACCAAGAAGTCGGAGCAGGAGCAGGAGCCAGAGTCAGAGCAGAAGTTATGATAGGGTTAAGAGGCGTAGTGGATGGGACTGCAGACCCTCCCCAGTTCCTGCAGCTGCTACTGCCCCCTTTGCAACATCTGGTTCTGAACCTCCAACTGCAGCTGCAACTGGAGGTCCATGTATTGTCGAACCTGAACCCGTGGCTGGGCATCAAGGGCCTGCGCCTGTAGTAGGATTTGAACCTGGTTTACCTCTGTCAGGTGATATGTCACCAATGTCACCAGGCCAAGGCAACGGATCTTTGTATGGAAATGAGCCGCCGGAGCAAACTTAGGGAGGAGGCTTTTAAGGTTGGGGAATCAGGTGATGTTGACTGGAAAACTGCTCAAACCATGGATTTAGATTTTTACCTTGAGGAAGCTAGGGAGGGAGCTTTCGGTGGTTGATTGATACCGTACGGTTACCTGCATTCTATTGCTGTTGCTACTAAAGAAAAATGCACTTTACACTGGGATTCAGATTATTCAGAGTTTTAAGTTGAGCGATCCTTGTGGTATTTTTGTCACTAGAATTGCAAGATGAGATGCTTTTAATGTAAAAGCCCTTTCTTAAGTAAAAGCTATCCTTATGGTAACTTTTTTTGGAATTAGAAGTGTACGATGACATGTTTTTGATGTACAAGTTTTCTACCATGTGATGCTTTTGGACGCCCATCTCTTGCCGTTTTAGTTCATTTAGAAAAAAAGTATTTTTTTTTGTGATTTAGTAGTTCTCAAATTTGTTGATTCTTCATTTGTTTTATCCATTTCAAGTTCTCGTCGAATTCATTGTCGACCTCTTCACTCGCAAGCATGATGGAGAACGAGTTCGTCGGGCTACAAGGTGACTGCAGCGGTACAGAATTTTGCGCCACTTACCACTGCTGTACACGAACATCATGCTTGCGAGTAACTGCTCGCATAAAATAAAATAAAACGCTCTTTAAAAGGCAGACGCAAACGAGCTCGGGACGCACCTCCCACCGGTGCTTACACGGTAGCAACACGTGGGGTGTCACTACAGCCGCGGGGATATCACATATGCGGTGCTTTTAGATTCGTGAATTCTGCGAACCAACGACAGCGATCCCGCCGCTGGTGGAATCTTGCGCGGTCGTCCTCGTTCTATTGGTCTTCGACCGGCCATAAATTGCAACTGTCCGCAGCTTCGCAGCCACGGCGATCGATCTGCTCTCCGACTCCGAGCTCCGAATCCATCTTCGTCCGTCGACCGACCGAAGCAGTCGTTTTGAAGCGATGGCGAGGAAGAAGATCCGGGAGTACGATTCGAAGCGCCTCCTCAAGCAGCACCTCAAGCGGCTCGCCGCCATCGATCTCCAGCTCTGCTCCGCCCAGGTGAGCTCCTCCTTCCCTACTACTCACGGCTTCCGATGTCGATCTCGTTCTCGAGGTTTTCCCTTTTTGGACCTTGTTCTCTCCCCTTCGTTTGTTCGTTCGTTTCTTTCCTTGGGATCCGACATGTTTCTTGGGCTCGCGAATCCTCGGATCCGTTTCTTTCTCGAAACTGAAGCACGAGCTTATCCTTTTTTATATTTTATTGCGCGCATCGAAGTCGGAAATAACAGTTTAACGCGACCTTATTTATCATCTACTAGTGGTTTTCTTTCGCCGGTTCGTTGAATTCTAGATCGCTAATTCTTGGGAGTTGTTCGTTTGAGTTCACCAGTATCATCATCATGTGGAAGTCAACTTATTGTCGTGATGAATGCTTTGAGTCTGTTGTTTGGTTGAATAAGGTGACGCAATCGACGGACTTCACGGAGTTGGTGAACCAGGAACCATGGCTCTCGTCCATGAAACTTGTCGTGAAGCCCGACATGCTGTTCGGGAAGCGCGGCAAGAGTGGCTTGGTGTCTCTCAACTTGGATCTGGCCGAGGTTGCAGAGTTTGTCAAGAAACGCTTTGGAGTGGAGGTTTTATCATCGAAGTTGGATCCTTTTGTTGATTTCCAAATTGTACTGCGCTAAAATGTAAGCAATTCCGGTGGCGTGTAGGTTGAGATGGGAGGATGTAAGGCACCGATCACTACATTTATAGTCGAGCCATTTGTCCCTCATGACCAAGAGTACTACCTCTCTATCGTCTCCGAGAGGCTTGGCTGCTCCATCAGCTTTTCAGAGTGCGGAGGCATTGAAATTGAGGACAACTGGGACAAGGTTAAGACCATATTTCTTCCTACTGAAAAGCCGATGACATCTGAGGCATGTGCTCCACTGATCGCAACTCTTCCTCTCGAGGTACGATTGCCTTTCTGCACTCTGGCATCATTTCTAGCTTTCATTTATGGACATTACATATGGGATTCGGCTACCTGATCCTTAAATACATATATTATCGACATACCTCTTGATTGTCTATAAGTTTGTACTGTCTAAGCAGTGTTGATATGGTTCAGCCTTCTTTAGTTTGGCAGCTTGCTAACTCATTGCTATTATGGCTCAGGTTAGAGGAAAAATAGGAGACTTCATAAGAGGTGTGTTCGCTGTGTTCCAAGGTATGTTTGAAGACATACTTGTAGGACAAATCTTATGATGATATTTTTATATTCTCAGAATTATATGAGGAACATGTGCCACTTCTTTCTGATTTGCTGATTAATTAGCACATACAAACTACTAGCTGTGTCTATAAAATTGTCAGTGAATTGAAAGGAACTAACTATGGTATTTTTTAGGATTAATTATAGATTACTCTCTCTAGTTAAACCTCCTTAGCATTTTAGTCCCTATACTTTAAAAAATTATATTAGAATCTCTATAGTTATGAAAGTGAAACATCTAGGTCTATTTACCCTAACGCTGTCCGTTTTATCAGCGGAAACATAAAAAAAATAAGCGAAAAAGTAATTTTAATGTTTCAATTGGTTGTGACGAACGATGTCGGTGGTGGTAAATAATGACGCCACTGGGGGGTCGCGAGTAATTGCTATGGATGAAGAGAGCAACAGTGAGAGATAAGGGTCGCTCTGCATTTACGTTGATGCTGATGTAGTTGCCGAGCAGCCCTTTCACCACTCTACATCTGTGTCGGCGTTGACAGTTGTCAAGCGGCGAAAGGGCTGCCAATGCAGATGTCGATTGGCCCTTTCACTGTTGGGCAACTACATCAACATCGATGCCGATGCAGATGCAGAGCGATCAAAGGGTCGCTCACTGCGTCTGCGTCGACAAAGTTGTCGAGCGGCGAAAGGGCTGCTTGGCATCTGCATTGGCGTCGATGCAGATGTAGAGCGACCCTTTCGTTGATCGACAACTATATCGGTGTCGACGCAGATGCAGAGTGACTCTTATCCCTCGTCGCCGCTCTTCTTATCCACAGTAGCCACCCGCGGCCCCTAGTGTCGCCACTGTCCGTCACCACCAACTGAAACATTGAAATTATTTTTTTGCCCATTATTTTCGTGTTTCCGTTGGTAAAACCGACGACGTTAGGGTAAATGGACCTAGATGTTTCACCTTCATAGCTATAAGGATTCCAATATAAATTTTTTAAGTTTAGGGATCAGAATGCTAAGGAGGTCTAACTACAATGATTAATATGTAATTTGCCCTATTTTCCAATCACCTCTGTCTATAGAATTGCCATTGAATAGACATGGAGAGAATTCTCTTCAAAAAACATATCTTTCTTACCCGAAACAGATATATAATGTTTTTCTTATTTGGAACACTCATATTTGCTTTTATCTTAATATATTTGGTGGCATGGGATTAATTGAGTGTGCCTATCGCAGACTTGGACTTCAGTTTTATCGAAATGAACCCATTTACGTTCGTAAATGGAGAACCATATCCATTGGATATGCGAGGAGAACTGGACGACACTGCTGCTTTTAAGAATTTCAACAAGTATGTATTGGGTGTTAGGCTTCAAGTTTGCTGATGCCAAGACTATCTCTGACATCTATCTCTTTATCACTTTATGTTCTTCATTTTGTTATGTTTTGCAGGTGGGGTAACATAGAATTCCCACTCCCTTTTGGCAGAGTCTTGAGCCCCGCAGAAAGCTATATCCATGAACTTGATGAAAAGGTAGCAAAGTTTGCATTTTTACCATGTCATGTTTCACATAGTGTAGGTAAACACTAAAAAAACAAGCAGCATTTTTTTTTTTTGAATTACAGAATCCTTCTACACCTTCTGCTCTGAGTACAAACATTATAGCCTACGAAATTGTTGAGAGAGGGAGGATATGACATCAGTTTCTCTATCTCTGCATCCAAGCTTTTCCATGGTTTCTTACCTTTAGGAAAGATTTTAACATGTGAAAATAGCATTGCGGCATATCCATGTAGATTATTGTCTGCAACTTTGTTCGAACCAATGAACTTCTATATTGTTATTATCGCGATCCGTTTGTTGCTTGCAGATCAAATTCCTTTGATGATTTATTTTTTTAATCTGCAAAAAGTTATATATCAAGCAGGGTGTTGCTTTTAAACATTCAACTGTCACTGTTTTTTCTAAGTCAAAGTTAGGATCAGGTGTCTATTCTAAGAAGTTTATTGGACATGTTTGTGTACCAGCCCAATGGAAAGGAACATAGCTCAGAGGGTTTCAATTGATCCATGATTTTTGCTGGTACTAGTTTCTTCTGTTTGAAAAATGTATTGTTTCTTGTGTGGTTATAGTGTGGAATACTTTTTACTTTTTTATTTTGTAAAAGAATATGCTGGTGAACACCGCAAATATTTTCCAAAATGCAATTCTTCCCAAAATTTCACAAATAACAATTTTTTTTCAAATATCTTTTCTTCCATGTGGTTGATTGGTTTTATTTCCTCCTTTTCTTTGGTTTAATTACTCATGTACCCATGTCCTATACCTAAAGCATTCATTTATCATGCGAACATGTTTCATTTCAGACTAGTGCCTCATTAAAGTTCACCATTTTAAATCCCAAAGGACGCATTTGGACCATGGTGGCAGGTGGTGGTGCTAGTGTCATATATGCTGATACAGTAAGTAATATTTGTTTTGCTTACACTATCGCAACATCCATACCAGATCAGAACATCTACATCTTATCAAAGTGCAAAAGATATGCAATTCCGAAAGGGATGGCATTCACAAAACACTGGCATACAAAATCTGCTGACAAGTCTGATATAATGTACACTAGGTTGGAGATCTGGGTTATGCATTGGAGCTTGGAAACTATGCAGAGTACAGTGGTGCTCCAAACGAGGAGGAGGTCTTGCAGTATGCTAGAGTTGTTCTTGATGTATGAACTTATTAGCTTTCTTTTTCAGACTACTGCTTTAGAAGAGGTAGCATAAATACAGGCAATGAGGTTTCTTTTTGTACTTTCTAGTGTGCAACCGCCGACCCTGATGGCCGCAAGAGAGCGCTTCTCATTGGAGGGGGTATAGCCAACTTTACTGATGTTGCCACAACTTTTAATGGTATCATCCGGGCTCTGAGAGAGAAGGTTGGTTGACTTAATGAATTGCAGCTTCTTTAAACAATTCTCACATGATTTACAAGCTACACTATTTATCCACAGGAGGCCAAGCTAAAGGCTGCAAGGGTGCACATTTATGTTAGACGAGGTGGTCCAAATTATCAGACTGGTCTTGCAAAAATGAGGTCTCTAGGTGATGAAATTGGGATTCCTCTTGAGGTAACACACTGCAACTATTAATCTGTGCAAACATTCTGATGGCCAAAAACAAGTTTTAAGCTTTTCTCACGAGTCATTTGGATCATACATATATAGTTTTTTCATCAAACAAATTTATTCATGATTAACAACAATCATAAAACATTTCTGATTGATGCCACCTGATTATAAATCCAGCTGGCACCATGGCACACCAGAAACAAACCATACAACTGCGTTGGTTTAGATCTGGTGAAACACCTTGATAAAAGCATACAAATACCCTCAGCCATATATATAGCTATTTTCTTGCGCTAGCCATTCATACTTCTCGTTAGTCCTAAATTTTTTTTATCTTTGCCATTCGCGTCTAAAAGTTTAAGTCAGGAGATGAAACATGATCTCAATTTATGGGATCTCTTAATAATAAGAGACTTTGCAAATTTGAATGGTTGCAGACAAATGGTACTGTGATACTCTCTCAAGAGTTATAGAAATAATGGTAGTATAGATCTAAATTAAATTATACACTGATCTTTTAAGTTTGCGTGCAGGTTTATGGGCCAGAGGCTACAATGACAGGGATCTGCAAACAAGCTATTGATTGCATCATGTCTGCTGCATGAACATAGTCTTCCTTTAATCTTTCTTCCGTCTCCCTTTTGTTCCCGATCTCATGATGATTTGGTGGTGCATTGAGTGAAAGATTGTACTTCAAAATTTAGAGGCATAAAGGGTTGTTAATGCAATAATACTATTACTGCTTTGCTGAACCTTCCCCTTGTCGTAAGAAAAACATCTCTTTTATTCATGCATAAATCTCATGAAAAAGAATTCTTTGTCATGTGAGATCAGATTAACCTAAGACTACCCGCTGAGAGCTATCAAGTTAAATCCTCCCAACTCAATCTTGGATACATGATTTTTTTTGTTGGTATTATTATGTTCTGTATAAAATAATACAAGATGCTTTATACGGAAAAATCATAGGATTGCCCAACTGTTGATTGTTGATAGTGGGATCCTTGTTCAAAACTCTTATTTACCGAATTATATACTCTTACTCATACTATATCTATATAATTATTCTGATGGTGTAACCAATTCACTCACCAATATATTATTTTTTTTTATAGAAAATTTATAGAAGGTTGCTCCAAAATTAGGATGAACAATTTTGAAAGGACACTTTTGTCTTTAAATACACGAGTAAAATTTTGGTGGAACTAATTCAGAAGTTATTATATATCTTTTCCTTTAGAGACACCTTGGATTGGATTGAATCTTAGGATGCTGACTTAGAACTCTTATTTATTGTATTATATATTTGTGCTAATTTTATACCTAAATAATTAGTCTAGTGATGCACGCAACTCGATCACTTCACTTGGAGAATCCGAATAATAATTCTTCAAATTTATAAAGAAAATGGTGGAACAAACAAATCATTTTGTTCCTTTAAAAAAAGAGAGAAAAATGATAAATAAAGTTTGTTTCTAAACAAATACAACGCTTTTTATCTTTTCCAACAACACCTCCAACAACACCTTCGCCTTGCGATCCTCATCGTCAAACGTGGTGGTAAACGATAGGTGGACTGGCTGTTGTGTGTTCCATGTCAAGTGGGTCGCCCCGTGACCCAAAGGAATCCAATCGGACGGTGGAGATCCGATCACGGACCCCATCGCATCTTTAAATACGTGTCGGGGACGAAGCAGGCGAGTCCATTGCGTTCAAACCCCGGGCATCAGCGAGCTCAGACCAGCGTCGGATCCCACCGCTCTGGTGAGCAATCTCCCTCCGGCTCCATGTTTTCTTCTGTTTATGTGCTTATTGGTGTTGATCTCTCGAGGTCTCGGTGGGATTTCGAGGCTTAGATCCGACGGTCTCGATTGTAGTGGTTCTGCGGCCAGATCTGGGAGGATCTGTCCGAGTTCCTGTGGATCATCGATTGCTTTTCAGTTGATTTGTTGGTTCTCGTGGTTTTGAACGAGACGTTTCTTTTCCTTTCCGGAACTACTGGTTTTTTGCTTGCAGACTAAGGTCTGACATTGATTGATGCCGTCTTGGCTTCTATATGCGTGGTTTGGGAGTAGAAAGAACTGGTTGTTCTTTTCTGTGCTTACAACTGGTTTGATATCAAATGAAGAGTGGTGGTTTCTCTCCATCTTGAAGCTGTCAGCCTTAGATCTTTTCGTTTGGATGTGCATGGTAGTCGGTGTATGCTATCTCTGTTTTGCTTGTGGTTATCAGAATGAGACTGGATATTGACCTGATCTGGGTGTGGTTGAACTGGTATATCGATTTGTTAGACCGTAAACATAATAAACATTTTTAGAAAATAAATGCAATTATATATGATGTTAAGAATCTAAAACATGTGGATTATATTATGAACATCATATTAATATTGATCTGATCTGGGTCTGGTTGAACTTGGTATATCGATTTGTTAGACCGTAAACTTAATAAACATTTTTCGAAAATAAATGCAATTATATATGATGTTAAGAATCTAAAATATGTGGATAATATTATAAACATCATATTTATAATATTTATAATACTATAATATAATATAGTGAGATAGGCTGATAGGGACGTAGCTGACATGTTGGAATGAGAGAGTAACGAATTATCAATTATTTTTTAAGATTTTAATGTTCTTAAAAGTTATATATAGTTGATACCAAATAAAGAATAAAGAGTACCTTATTTTTGAAGATTCAAATGGTTTAGTGAATTGAACCTTTTAAAGGTTTGATTCTCCAATTTTTTTTAGCTTACTATTTACAATCCTCATTTTACTATTGACAACCCCTTTGCTATTGATAATCCCTTAAAAATATAATAAAATATTATTTTAGTATTTATGACTATGATATTATTGATTTTACCCCTTTTTTCTTTTCTTCCCTCTTATTTCATCCTCGTCATCTCTCTCAACACCGCTCGATGCCCTTCGACCCAATTCACCATCGTCTAACCCCTTCCTCTGAAGAAGAAGAAGAGGAAGAAGAAGAAGAAGAGGAGGGGGAGAAGAAGAGGAGAAGAGGAGGAAGAAGAAGAGGGTATTTATGTTTATTTGCAAGGGGACAGTTTTGAAATATTAAAAAAAATTAAAATAGGATTGTAAATAGTAATAAGGGGGTTGCAAATAGTAATCTCTTTTTTTTTTTTTTCAAGATTTTTGTTACCAACCCATTATTTGCTATTTACAATCTCATTTTATTTTTTTTTAATATTTCAAAGATACCCATCTGTAAATGAATGTAAATGTGCTCCCCCCCCTTCCTCCTCCTCTTTTTCCCTTCTATTTGAACGACAAGCTGCAAATGATGTCGGATGGTGGAGTGGCATTGGACAACATCGAGTGGCACCG